GAAGCGTTTGCTGCTGTTAGGAGTCGTTTGTGGCGTAGATATAAACTTAACATTTTCGTACTGTAACGAGGCGACGCTAGCGTACGAAACAGTAATGCCCTTAGTAAATTACTTAGAAGCATTCTATGAGGTCGGAGGTTGGGGGAAAATGCTGATCCGGATTAAGTTCCTTAACGATAAAAAATAAGGGTGGCAGGAGGATGGCAACTACTGTGCGCCAAGGTACGGCGACTGATTGGTAAGGTATTTCGTCAGGAGCGTCATAAGTATGTATCTGCAACTCACTGTTTTCGCAGTCAGTGAGGGCGTTCGTTTATGTCAGAAAATATAATCCTAAGATGATGTTTATTTTAACTGCACACACTCGTTCAAACAGAAGGACCACCTTCTCGGGTTCACCACTAACTCACTTTGGTTCCGGCTTTCGTTCTGTACGTCTCGACTTTCCACGCTGTTAATCTTTTCGTCTGCATCCGACCGCTGCGGTGCAAAATTCAGCTCGCCCCCGCGCTCGATCGTCTCCGCAGTGGCAAGCCGATGCCGTCGCTGAAAGTTTCAACAGTGTATATTACGTTCGTTGTGAACTAGACCATTCAACGCACAGCAAATTATTGTTGTACAGGTGCATCCTTAATATTATATATTAGCCTTAATTATTAAAAGTGACTATTTATCGGCAATTGGTATTTCTGTTCTCTAAAAAAAATTGTCTTCGCTTTATGTAAACTATGTGTGCTTTCCCCGATTTTTTTTTTGTAAACTGCATTTCCTTCTTAAAGAAGGGTATGCGATATTATATATTTACTGCGCATACTAACGATAAAGACCAGGAGCTTACATGGTTATTCGATCGCACGCGACAAGACACACCATGGATTGGCGGCCCTTGCCGGGTGCGGGGACGGGTGAGAGGGGCCTATAGCGCGAGAGGCTAGGCGTGTTGTACGTACCTTAGAAGCCGTGTATAGCGCAAACAAATATGACCCCAGTTTGCCTACATGAAGAGCTCGCTCCGTTTTCTCAACCATTTTTTTCCTGGCTTTAGACATCGGATAATGGAACATCCACTGCACCGCTAACGATCGGACTAAGGAATGTCAGAAGCGATCATTACAAAATTAGGAAAATGCAACATGTAGCCAAGCTCGAGTGTTCAAAATCAGCATAAATTTGCCCGCTGCACTTTAACAGGAAACTAAGCAGCAAACCTTTTGCAGCAAAGTCGACTTCCGGAAACTACGTATGGCCGTTTCGAGAGCGTGGTTGCGATTTCTAACTTCTAGTGAAGATACAACAAAAAAGGGGTAAATCGCGTCAAGCTAATTGATACTTTATATGATCGGAAGCAATAAAAAATGTAATTAAAAGGGACAAAAATGATTTTCCTTTTTATGAAGCGGGTTCAAAATATTGGTCAACCTAATTTTGGACGATATTTCACATTTAATATAAAATATTCCGTGAAACTAAAATATAATAAACTTACGCCGGTCGATAGCCGATGTATAGGACTGCACCTGCATGGTTTTTGGTAAGAAACAAATACAATGACTCTTGAGATACAAGGCTCTGAATATGCAACCGGGTTGTCAAAGAGACGATGTTCGGCATTTTTTGTCTGACTTAAGAAAAATAATAAGATAGTTTTCTTTGACTAAAACATAGACGGCATGGTAAACAAGCGTTCAAAAACAATTACTGGCAGTTTTGTATGCTTTCCGTATTCATATCAACCTACAGAACTGGGCAGAAAAGTTACGGGGTAAAAAACAGATTTTCACCCTGCTCCAATCAATGCATTTTGTGCAGCGAATTTTTTTTCTTAATGAGAAAAAGTTTTGTTTTTTTACAGACATAAGGCTATAACATACATATTTTTTTTTCTTTTCAATTGAAAGACTCACCCCGACAAGCATGTTCGATTTCAAATGAAACCACCTTTGTAGCGATGCTGCGCCGGCCGTATACAGCAGAGAGGGGAACACGTCTGAGATTGGGGCGGTGTAGGCGTGTACGAGCACGAAGAACTGGAAGGCTGGAAAGCGGGACACAGTTAATTTTGTACAACTTGTTTATGGTTTCTCTTGATGGCTTTCCCGGAGGTGAACGCAGTCATGCGTAGTTGACTGAGATATCGTCGTAGCTCCTCAGGATGATGGTGCGGATCGGTTCTGGGAGGTTCGTGGTCCCGACCGTGTTTAGGGAAACCTCGGGGAGGCGTTCAGAAGGCGCTTTTCAGATACGATAGCTCTGCATTTCTTTATGCGTTTTGCATTCTGATATTTGACACCGTACGGTGTAGGGGTTTTGCCGGGCTACAACTGAGAAGTGCTTCCGAGGCAATCCTTCAAAAAGGCGTCAGATCTTGTTGCTCTCGGCCACCTGTTCATCGAGGCGTCGACAGAGACGAAGGACGACTTCGATAGAGCTCGTGGTTGACTCAGATTGTGTTTGACAGCGGCGGGACAGCTTGCCTTTGCTTGTTGCTTCCGGCTCTCAGGTTTGTCGAATGCTTTCGAAACAATGGTTGTGAAACCATCGCAAGAGTTGATGTTGACCTCATGATTATCAAACCTGCGAAGCGCTGTGTCTTGAAGAAAAAAACACGGCGTTTCGCAGCTTATGGAAGTCTTCCCAGTGGCTGTGAATCCTGACGTGATCGCCGACTTCGGAAGAACCACTGAAAATGTCTCGCTTGCGGTGCTTGACAGGGTTGAGCGGTGATGTGCGTGTGTGGAGGGAGGGGAGGGCGGTGCTTAGATGTGCTGGCTTTCAAATGCGCTATGGTGATGGCAGCTGTGCGTTCCTTGGAAAGCTCCGGAGCGAAATTGGGGATAGGAAGGAGCTCTGATGTTAAAGAGCGTACTGACGTTCACTACATCTGAGGTGGTTTATTGTTTTACAATGCACGATGAATGACTGTGGGGAGAGTGTTGCGGAGGTTGCCCAGGCGAATTTTTTTGCTTCGGGCGCTGGCTCATCCTCACCTTCTGCTCCTCCTTTTCTTTCTCTATTACAATATATTTATCTTTCGCGAATATTAGCCTAGGCCTCTTTTATTTATATGTTTTGTAATTGTCGTTTATCACGATTTGCTTTAGCGAACGTTTTACTCGCCGCTTCTGAAATACGCAAATACCATTCCTCTCGTTCATCTTTCTAGAATTTCCGCGCTCTTTTGGCGTGCAAACTATCTGTTTTTCTTTGCGATCGAAGCGAACTCGTTTTGCGTCTGTCGTTTAAGGATCGTATCAGGAACCGACTCAACCGATGGCAAATGTAAAACAGTCTTCTAAAACTCCACCTATATAAACTAGACAAAGAACAAAATTTGAATAAAATGTATGAGATAAGAGGCAACATTTGTCGCGACGATAAAAAAAAAAGGGCGGTATAGAGTCATATTTGTCTGAGGCACCGTTTTTGCTCTACGCTCGCTGCACGGTGTTAGGGTTGCCCTATGGCAACCATTTTGTTTTATTTTTTAATGCCACTGAAAAAGGTCGATCTGAAATAAATAAAACGCATACATGTTGAAAACTTTCAAGACAGGATATCAAATATAAATCATAGAGTTAATCTGCCACATATTCTACTGGTCTGAAATAGCTTTAAAGCACCCCTAAAAAAAGTTTTTTTTAAGTCTAATTGTGACAAGCACATAAAAAATAGATTTTTGCGAAAAAAAAATGTTTAGAGCAATATTGGCGCCGAGAGATATATTTGAAATTCTGCGCGGGCAAAGTTAATGACGTCATGTGTCATTCCGGAATTACCATCACGTTCGAAGATAAAGTGAGTAGGCAGGCGAGCTGGTTGATGTTACACATTTTTGAAAAACAGGAGACGACAAACGAAAAAGATGAGAACACACAAAACGTCTCAAACGATCATCTCGGTCGTTCGCTCTTTCGATCTCAACGTGAAGGCGAAGCCGATCCACCTCTCCTCCACGTGCCCGAAATAACGAGAGAGAAAACAAGAAGAAAGGAGGTTGCTACCACCTAAATCGCGTCTCGCGTCGCCAATATTGCTCTAAAGTAAAATAAAAAAAAAAACATTTTCGCCTGAAATTAATTTTGTTCTGACACGGGTGTCCCAACCAGACTGTCAAAAAAATTAATGGGCCTTTTTAGGAATGTTTACTGATTGCAGGTGGCTTCCATCTGTACTATGCCCTTCCTGTAAAGCCGAGCTTTATAAATGTGTAACTTACCCTGAGCGATAACCAGGGGGTTTATTTTGTTTTACAATTTGGCTTTGAAAAAGTCGTAAAGCTACAGTGACGCATTTTGTGTATGGGTGTTGTACGGCTATAGGCCATAGTATAAGGGTACTCTTCACGATAAGTCGAATAGTTGCCTAAAATATTTTAAGTACTTTTTTTTTCAGTGATAGGAACATATGGGTTTATTTTTAAAGTTACTGAGTGTCATCGAAAACCACTATATCGGTAAAATTATAAACAGCGCGGATGATAATCCAGATTATTCCCGTTTTCGCACCTTCACTCTTGCACCCACTGCACGAGTGATAACGTCTTCCCACGAGCTCCAAATATTTTAAACATTATTTGATCTGGTGGGTTTCGATGACGCTCAGCAATGTTCTTATTAGAACTACGTATATGGTTCTTCTTAAATAACTAAAACTAACAAATGTAATAATATTATTTGGCTAATTGTGACAACTAGCCCAACATATTTTATCTAATTGGGCGTGTAACCCACGGGCACACACTGCTCTAGTGTAGCTTTTACGGTTTTTAAAAACGAATCGGTAAAGCTTAGATAAAACGCCCTCCACACTTTATTCAGCGCGTTAACAACTAACTGTTCCAACCACTCAAAAATTAAATAGACAACCGTGGAAGCAGCAATAATTTGTGTGTCCACTTTTAATAATTTCAGTAATCACGGGGTCGTAATAACCGGTAAAAAAACGTTCACACGTTAAAACCTTTGGACTTACTTTTTGCTTTGTGTTTTCTTGTTCACTAGTAATGCTGCTACGGAAATTGCCAGTCTGTCAAGTTCAACTTTAGAAACCCGTTTACTCTGAAGAAGCCATGCAGTAAATAAAAGGAGAGCAGCTGGACGGATTTCAATAATCCGTAAACTTGTTAACGGTGTCAATGTGTCTTCGAAATTTAGTGTGGAAAAAAAGCTACACAAACAGAAATCTAGCGGCATTCGTTTTTTGTGTTCTTTTTTGTCTCATGAAAATCGCCCATGAAAAGTAAAAATTAACTTGCACTAACTGCCGTTACCCATGGAATCTTACAGTATGCATTTCGATCATAATTTTGATTATGAATCTCGGGGTTACATTAAGGAGAATAAACATTTAGGTGAGCTGGTATGAGTTCATCGTGAAAAAGCGCGCGAAAGGGACAAGGACAAAAAAGGAAAGACTATACAGTCCGAGCGCTGACAAACAAAGGATTGTTTATAAGATTGTGTAGATGGCACTGTGTTCGGGCAGATACTGGGCGCACCGTAGATGCTGACAGGTCTTTATGCTTCGTTTCCCACACCACGTGCTAAAAAGGGCCTGGAAATGAATCACACTGTTTGTTAGTCAGTAAAAATTGGCTCACGCACACATTTGATGCTGTGCTTGATGTTCCAGCTGTTACGATCCGCTTGTTCCAATTCGCCTTTGTGCCGGTTCACCACGGAACATAATCCGCTTAGTTTGTTGCTGGTCGAAAAAAACACGTTAACTGCGTATCTAGATGCTGCCTATTTAAGTATATGTGACGAGCGGTGAATATAAGGAATGACCAAAACCTTCTTTTGTTCCCTCTTCAAAAGTTCACCTCGAGCTGAACTGACATTATCGTGTTTACTAATTTGTCGCATGCTGCCGAAATCACTAAGTCTGGAAAACCTGAATCTTTAATTTTTCAATCTGCAAGTTGAAGCCTATGTTCGTTTTGTGAGAAAACAACCTAATTATTCCGGAGCTTAAACAGGACAAGCAATGCCTTTTTTAATATTTTTGAATGTGCTGACTGACAGGACAGCGAACATTTTGCAGATATAGAATGGTACGACCAGCATAACTGATCATTTCATAATTCTAGAAAGAGATCCAAAAACTGGTATCGTTGCCATTTATGGTCTCATACCTGAACCAAAGGCTCAGAAATATCTCTTTAAAAACATTCACAATTTCAACTAATTTTTTTTTAATGGCTCTTTTTTAATTTTGTTAGGAGACAATTTCTTACTGCCTTCTTTAAAGTTATCCGTATCGCATCCTTGCCCTTTTCCAAAAACACTTCTTGTGGCACCACCACAAAGCCTCCTTCTTTGTTCACTACGAGTAGCTTAAGCCGCTCTTCGAGGAAGTAGGAGACAACTTTACCCAGATTAGGTCTTCCGACGGGTCTTGTCGCTACGGTCGCGGGAAGACAATCAACCCCATCCAATATATACCTCACTCTATGTTCTTCTGCTACTCTGTCCCCGACATTCCTGACAAGAGTTAGTAGTTTCTCAGGTTTGATGGCCACTTCGCACGCAAACATATTACCTCTTTTCTGTACTCCCAGCGCATCGCTTCGTACGTTGGTGTCACCCAACATTTTAACCAGTCCTGGTTACACTGTTGGGTTCTTCGAGAGCTTCATGTTTCTTCCGAATAAAAATTCTGTTGTAAGTCAGCACTTGCCGTGTACATTTCTTTCACTCGCCCTTCGTATAATTTTGGCGCTTTTTTTGGTTGTAATGCCCTCTGTCGTGGTTCGACGTGAATACGTACCACTGCGTGTGGCCAAGCAAAATGTCTGGGGCGGACGTACTCTCTCGTGTGCAAGCGGGCAAAGCACCAGACCCTAACTGGTCTTCGTTCAGATAATCAATTTCTTAGAAATGGTGTAAGTATTATTTTGTAATGTTCTTTTTTATCTAAACTCCTGATGATGTGCTAGCACACGTTTTTGTTCTGGTCACGGCTAGCATGCTTGACCACATCTTCTTGCGTGCAGTTGCTCAATTAAGAGTGCTTCATAATCTTCGCAGTGACACATGCACCTTCACAGTAGTGACTGAGTCCCTCACTAGGTTACTGGTAGGGGTGGGCGAATATTCGAAATTTTGAATACGAATCGAACACTATACATTCAATATTCGTATTTGATTTTAATCGGTCTTTGGTATTTTTCGAATATTCGTCGTAACACGAATATTCGAAATTAATCGAATATTCGAGAACGTATTCGCAAGCGCCAGTTTTGCTTTCAGTTTCAGTTACGGTAAGCAAGACCCATCGACAGCGACATAGCTGCAAGGCGGTTTCAGGCTAAACTGGTCGCGTCAGTATCGGCAGCGGTAATCAGCGAGTTTCTGTTCCCTTGAGACTCCTGACTTTTTAAACTGTGCTCACCTTCACGTTCGCCTACCCGTGTTACGGCGGATGGAGGTGATTGCTGGGAACGGTCTGCAAAGCGGACGAACGAACGGGAAACGGCACCAAAACAAAAAAAGAGGAGTGCTATTTGAAAATATTTTGCGAGGGTGACGGCATCGATGGTGCAATGTATGGCATGCGAGTCAGCGCTTAAAACGCCAACAGGTACGACAACGCCCCCTTTTCAACCATCTTAAAGTACATCCTGCGTTGTTCAAAGAGTATCGTGGGATTACCGCTAGTACGCCAGGAAAATATCAACACACGCCAACGGACTTCGCGCGCCGCACGCAACCCCTGCCAGAAAAGTGGGTGCGAGCGCTAAATAACAAGGGTGCCGCCATGGTGGCGCTTGATTCACAGCCTTACAGCATTGTGGAAGACCGCGGCTTCAAAGAACTTCTGACAGAAGCCGTTCTTAACTATCGCCTACAATTCCGCTCTAAGATCTCGCGCGTGCTGGTGCCAAGGACGTATGACGACACCCGAAATGAGAAAGCAGAGTTTAACAGTGCATTTGAAAGCGGCACTGCCGCTTTTGTCTTTACAAGTGGCATATGGACATCGTGCGCTAACGAAAGTTGCGTGAGCTTCACCTGTCATCTTCTCACTCCGAAATTCATGATGAAGCGGTTCACATTGAACACTCAACACATGGCTGCCAGTCACAGTGCTGTGAAAATCGCAAATATTCTGGACGAAATATGCCATGACTGGGAGATACCCAATGAATGTGCGAAGTCCATCGTGACGGGTAACGGACGCAACATCCGTGCTGCGTTAAGGAGACTTCCGTGGACTGAAAGAGCGTGCTTCGCGCATACGCTTCAAGTGGCGATTAATGACGCGAGATCCCGTTCGCCGGCCATTGATCGCCTCAGCGATAAAGTGAGGTATATTGTGGGACATTACAAGCACAGTTCATCAGCTCAGAAAAGGCTTGAGGAGTGCGAAAAATAGATGGAACAGGACGCACTACGAATGGTGCAGGATGTGGAGACGAGATGGAATAGCCAGTATCTAATTTTGTGCCGCCTACTGGAACTCAATGAAGCAGACACTGTGGAGCTTGCTACCTCTAACTGTGACATCGATGGATTTGGTTAACCAGAGTTGAAAGATGGTTCTGAATATGTACAACCATTGAAGCTATTGTTTCATGCCACTGTTATTGCCATATTGCCAGTGCTAAGTGTCTGTCCTTGTCTTCCCTAGTTCCTATGATTTTCGGTATGCTCCAATGTCAGGGTAATTGTGCTGGGGCATCAGAATTTCCCTCAGAACTGACAAGATTCATCACGGCAATGGTTCACTCTGTATGAGGAAGACAAAGAAGAATGCCTGGCTATGTTCTTGGAACCACGCTTCAGGTCCACTATTTTTAAAGCCGAAAAGGAAAACTTATTACGGCTAAAAGCTCTGGTGCTGCAGGAGCTAGCCTCATGTGATGCTACTGAAGAAACGCAGCCGGTAACTGCAACACAGTCACAAGAGGAAGGCTCAATGCCGGCAGCTGATGTTTGGCTGGCATTAGACCACTTAGCCAAAAGTGCAATGGAAAGCAAAGTGGTTTTAGCTTCAGAATGGGAAGTTGTAGAGTGCGCGGAGGAGGCACTGCTAAAGAGAGAGAGAGAAAGTGATCCGTGTGAGTGGTGGCGAACTGTCGGGTGCTTAAGATATCCGAGTTTGGCGAAGCTTTGCATCAAATACATGGCAATACCTGCCACTCAGTGGTGAGTGAGACAGTTTTTTCTGTGGCTGGAGATGTAGTGTACGCTTGAAGGGAGCGCCTCCTACATGACCATGTGCAACAGTTGACTTTTCTGCATGACACCTTGTAATCTTCCCTACAACTAGAATTGTCGTTCTTGTGTTTTTATTCTCGTTCGGATTACAAATTGCCATGCTGAAAAATCAACTGCAGTTCTGCAGTTAAAAAAAAAAGAAACTGCAGTTTCGGCATGAGAATATAAAAATTCTGCGAATAGATGCACCTGCCTTCCACTATTCGATATACGATTCGGTATTCGAAGTTAACTATTCGTATTCGATTCTGAGTAACGGTTGATAGTGGAGCTTGTTGGTACATACTTGTATATATTTGACAGCTTGAACCAGGGGAAGATATAGAGAAATTGAGACAGGAGAGAATAGACAGCTGACTACCAACGATTATTTAGTGGGAACTTCTTTTTCCTTGCGTGTTTTCAGACACCAACAAAAATTATTACATATTAAAACCTATTATACTAATATAATAATGCATGTGTATGTTTACAAAATTTTCACATTACCTAAACCTAAACTAATATTTTAAATTCACCCGCCACAAGCTCATACTGCCATTTTCTGGACCGTGACGCACCGTAGATATTGTCTCTCCTTTTTGTGAATAGTGATGGACGGGGTACTGACGCACCCACTCGCTTGTTCTTCGATAGCGAGCGCCTCGAGCATCTCGCGCGCATGAGTATTGTTATTACTGGCTAGGATGGTTATGTCCTTGAACGCTGCACTGCAGTGGCAAGTCCTGCAATGAGCTGCAAGATGCCCTGCCGACGTTCCTTTAAGGGATGCTGCGTGCTCGCGGGCTCTGTCGTTAATGCATCGGCCCGTCTGGCCGATGTAGCACTTCCCGCATGAAAGGGGAATGTTGTAAACCACTCCTGTG